ACCCTTGATAATTAACACATCCTGATTGCATGGTTGGTCCATTTCAGACTGCAGAAATTGATAAAAATCTTCAATTTCCTCATCTTTGGCTTTGGTGGTTGGTGTGTAAATTTAAATAGTAGTGGTATAAACTAGTCTTCCTCGTAGGCATATGGATATTATCCTATCACTGACAGCATTGTACTTCAGGATAGATTTTGATACATTTTTTATGATGATGAATGCCACATCATTCTTCTTCGTCATTCCTGGCACAGTAGATCATGACTGTCTGATTCAAAATGGCCAAAAACAGTCAATTTCAGCTCACTAATGGCTAGGATATTGATCTTTATGCATTCCATCTCATTTTTGACAACTTCCACTTTTCCTAGATTCATACTTCATACATTCCATGTTCCGTTTATTCATGGATGTTTGTAGCTGTTTCTTCTAGAGATGTGCCACATCAGGAAATGGAGGTCCCAAAAGCTTTTCTCTATCCATATCATTAAGGTTGGTTCTACTCTGAGGAGGCAGCTCTTCTCCAGTCATATTTTGAATGCCTTCCAACCTGAGAGGTTCATCTTCCAGCACTATATTGCACAATGTTTCAGGGCTATTCATAAAGTTTTCCAGTAATATATCAGACAGTGTTTGACTGCTATTCGTAAGGTTTTCACTGGCCAATTCTTTGAGAAGTGGATGGCCTCTTCCTTCTTCTGGGTCTGTCTTAGTCTGGAAGCTCCAGTGAAACCTGTCCACCATGTGTATCCCTGTTGGCATTTGAAACACTAGTGGTGTATCTTCCAAATTCACTGCAACACTCAAGCCACCACAGTAGGACAAACTGACAGACAAGTTTGTCTCCCTTAGCTGTTCCAAACTGCTCTGCTCATTTCCTGGTCTCCCCCATCCTGCTCACTTACCTGGCCTGCTCCTGGGGCGCTCTACAGAAACATTCCCTAGTCCCAGGCTGGCTCACTGTGGCCTGCCCCTGGGGGGTTCTCTCCAAACACGCAAACACCCATCTTCTGCTGGTTCTGGGCTGGCTCACTGCAACCTGCCCCCAGGGCGCTCACTCCACCAACACCATGACCCACCTTCCATTGCTCCTGGCCTGGCTTACTGTGATCCTTTGCATCACTGTCGTGGAGTGGGATATGACTCATAGGGACCCCTCCTTGGGTTTCCGAGGTGGTATCACTACACAAGTAGATTGCCTAACCTTCCTTCCGAGGAGGGGCTGGTGAGTTTGAACCACCTGCCTTCTGGTTAACAGTCAATGCCTTAAGCATACACCACAAGAGCTTCTTGATCCTATACACAGAGAATCCTAAAGATTCTACAAGAAAGTTACTGGACCTAACAGAAAGATTTAGTAAAGTGGCAGGGTACAAAGATCAACATACAAAAATCAGTCAATTCCTCTACACTAACAAAGAGATATGAGAAGGAAATCAGGAAAACAGTATCAATTACAATAGCCACTAAGATGAAATATTTAGGTATAAACCTAAGTGGGTATCTTAGTTATCTAGTGCTGCCATAACAGATACACAATAAATAGGTGGCTTTAACAAATAGAAGTTTATTCCCTCAGTTTAGGAGGCTACAGGTCTGAACTCAGAGCACCAGCTCTAGAAGTCTTTTTCCCTGTTAGCTCTGGAGAAGGTCCTCATCTCCTTTAACATCTGTGGGCCCAACATCCCTTGGAGATCTCCATGTATCTTGGCATCAATATTCTCCTGGGTCTAGGAGGTTCCCAGTGCAGGGACTGAGTCTAAAGGACACTTCCATTCCTGGCTCTTCATTCTTGGTGGTAGTACGTCCTCTCTCTCTGCTTGGTTCTATGTCCTTTTACCTATTTCAACATAAAAGGTGATACAGGCCGTATCACAGGGCAAGTACTCTTACATAAAATCAGGGCTTTGAATGGATTAAGGTGTTGCATCTCATCTTAATCCCCTTACAACTGTTGGCTGATTATACTATACAATAGCTCACATCATGGTGGATTATTATCTCATTATGTAACTGCCATATATCTCAGTGCATAGCTGCCAGATCACTGAGGATCATGGCTCAGTCAAGCTGACACATTTTTTGGGGGTATACTTCAATCCATAATACCACACATACAAAGAAAAACTAACAAGATTTATACCTTTTCCCAGGGATGGGAGGGAAAATTACTAGCTACATACCCACTGCCATTGAGTCAATTCTGACTTATGTGACCCTACGGGAAGAGTGGAACTGCCTCATAGCATTTCCAAGCCTGTACATCTTTTACGGAAGCAGACTACCTCATCTTTCTCCTGCAGAGCAGGTGGTGGGTTTAAACCACTGATCTTTTGGTTAGCAGCCAAATGCTTTAACCACTGCACCATCTGAGCACCTTCAATCCAACAAAAGAAATTGTTGGAAATTGAACTTAAAGGTCCCTGCTGCTGAAATTGAAAGAAACTGAACTCATCTGCCCCCATAGGATAGGAAGCAAACTCTAGTACACTAAGGTGCCTGATCATACATTTACTTACTCAAATTTGGTTGATACTTGTTCTGAAAATCATTTAAGGTTTTTTTTTTAAAAAAAAAAAAAAAAAAAAAGTTGCACAAAACAGCAAGATAAAATGTAATTTAAAAAAAAAAAATGAATTTGGAAATCAAGACAAAGGGAAGTGAAGATAGGAGAAGATAAAGCCAGGAGTAAAATCAGCATAAGAAGTACATGCTGTGAGAACAAGTATTCCTATTTGCTTGCCTGTTCTGACTTGAATTCAAACTAAGACCCATAGATAAAAGGTTAACTACTCAGCTGAGTTTTTTGCTGTGGTGTTTCCTGGCCACAGTGTTCACGCAATGTGATATCTGGAAAGTCTCTTCAAAAGTCTCGCAATTTATATATGGCAGTCATTTCCAATGTCCCATTCCATCCTCTGGGAGAAGCAGACCATGGTGCTTTACAACAGTAATGTATTCAGGATGACCAACAATGTCAGGTTCTAGTTGATGTTTAGAGTCAGCAGATGTTTACCTTCAGCACGCCAAGATCATAGTCTCAGTAAAGCTCCTTCGCTTCACCAACTACATAGTAGACCTGTATTAATTTGTGTGAAAGGAAAGGCAATATACCTTAAGGGGGAGGTCAGCACATGACCAAGGCAAAGGAAGACACTGGGAGGTACCCAAGAGTAAAAGGCAACAATGGTATATACTATTATATACATAGCTACCAGAGCTCCCATTATCCTGCAGTAATAGTAATAAAACAAACAATTTACGAGTAGATACATAGGTAGATATGTAAGAGGGGTGGAATGGTGTATGGGAGTACACTTATGAACATGTATAAGTTTGGCAGAGGATAGTTCTACATATGTATTTGTATGTACTGCAAATATATCCACATATATAGTAAAGCATACAATGAGCAAAGTTATGAAAACTTCTTAACCATAATGAACACACATAGAGGGACTGAGTCAGTGGCTTGAGGGGGACATCTAGGTCAACTAGCATAACAAAAACAATGTTCTACATCCTACTTTGGTGAGTAGTGACTGAGGTCTTAAAAGCTATGAGCAGCCACCTAAGGTACAACTATTTGTCTTTCCTTACCTAGAGCAGAGAAGAGTGAAGGAAATCAACACAAGGAAACAATTGACTCAACGAACTAATGAACCACAGGAACCACTGCCTCCACTAGCCTGAGACCAGAACTCGATGGTGACTGGCTACTAGTTAACACTACTATAAATGGGATCACAATATAAAATCCTGAAGAGTAGGAGGAAAATGTGGAACAAAACTCAAAATCATAAAAAAGACTGAACTTTAGTATATGTGTTGCCAGAGCGAGCACCTAAAAGACTAGTCTTAGTGGTCTGATAGAGACCAGTGGATGCTCCGAGACCACGGCACTTAGATACCCTTCAACCCCAGAAATAAACCCATTCACCTTTCAGCCAAACAACAGACAGGGCTATAACGTCAGCAATAATACCCATTAGGAACATGCTCCTCACAACAATCAACCATACAACACCAAAAGGGCAGCATTTTCCCAGAAACAAAGTTCAGAATGCAGGAAGGGGCAGCAAAGGAGGGTGAATAGAAATGGGGAATCCAGGGTGGAAGTGGGAAGCGTGATGTCACACTGACAGAACTGTAACTAATGTCATGAAAATAAAATGTGTATAAGTTGTTGAATGGGAAACTAATTTGCTTTGTAAAATTTCACCCAAACCATAAAATGTTAACAACAAAAAAAAAGCATTGGGGACATGTTGGATTACTTTTCTGATTGTATCTATAAAATTTTCAACTTTAGACATCAATCTATGAGGTTGTTTTAAGAAAATACAATAGTAAAATGTTTTTCAAATAACAAGAAAAATATTTTCTTTTTCACCAATAAAATTTGCAATGAATTAAAGGGAAAAAAAAAAAGATAATACCATTACTGGTGGGAGTCCACTGGTGTTCTCTTACACTTGTTGGGAAAATAAATTGTTACAGATTTCTGAAGGGCAATTTGATAATCATTAGTTACCAAAAGCCTTACAATGCCTGAATTAATAATATTTAGCAACTCATTCCACTTAAGATGTCTAATTAATTTAAATAAATAGAGGTAGGTAAAAAGGAAGAGAACTAAAAGTTTCTATGGTTCAGTACAGATTTATCATTAGTATGTTCACCTAAGTCAAAACAGCTACAAGCCAGGTTTCTCAGATTCCTCTTAAACTAGAAAACAAGTCAAAAGAATCAAAGGGAAACATGTTGCTCTTGTGTCTTTAATTCTTTCAAACACTTCAGATTCAGGAGAGGCTCTTTCATGACAGTAGCAGGCAGAATGTGGAGGTATGGAACGGAGAGATGGAGTCCTGCTTCTGTTTTTTGCCAATCCTCCCCTCCATAACTGGGAAAAAAGGAGAAACAAGCTGCTTTTCAAGGGAGAAACTGTGTGTGACTGTATTACAATTTCATTTTAGTGTTTTCCTACAATAATTGTTTCAAACTTTTTCAATTAGCGATCTAAGATCATCAAGGTGGTGTTCTTCTATGAAGGATTCTGCTTGATTGAAAGCTTTTATTTTCATCAGAATACGAATTATTTCTTTTATTTCATCCCTAAAAAACAAAACAAAACAAATTTAAGTGTGAAGGCACATTGGTCAATTCAGGACCTAATCTAAAAAAAAAAAAGCTTTACTTTAAACCAACAGCTAAAAATAGCATAAAATATAGAGATACTCCCCTCTCCATATACTTATAAAGTTTAAAAACAAACAATTAATGGATGTATTCCAGAAAATTTCAATAGGAATAACTGTAAAAAATTCAGAAAAGAAATTTAAGGAGTGGTGTGCCACAATAAGCTCTGCTGGCTCTATGGTTAAAGCACTAGGCTGCTAACTAAAAAAGGTTGGTAGCTCAAACCCACCAGCTAGCTCCATGGGAAAAAGGTGTGGCAGTCTGCTTCCATAAAGATTTACAGCCTTGGAAACCCTATGAGATGGTTCTTCTACTCTTCCTATAGGGTTGCTGTGAATCAGCATTGACTTGATGGCAGTGGGCTGGGTTTTTGTTCTGATGCCAGCAAAAGCTTGTATAAGCCATTATAGTTGGAGCCATGGTGGGAATAGTCTGAGGGTGAGCAGGGCAGGCACAAGCTCCTAGTTGCAGGTCTGATGTTACAGGAGTAATAGCCTCAGATTGCTGGACTGGCAGGGTGGCATGTGGTGGGTGGGGTGAGTATGAGCCTCTAGTTGCTGGTCTGATAGCACATGAGTGTGTGTTGCTGATTGCCAGGCAAGGATACACTGGTGGTCACTGGAAAGGCAAGGGAGTGAGGAAAAAGGGGAACGTGATCCCCTAATCTCTGGTGTGGGTACTGGGATACTTCCCAAAGAATGCAGCTGGTCATCAGGACCTGGCCTACACCAATGGAGAGGAGGAGGGGCTGTCCAGAGTCTGGTCAGGTGGGAGGATCTCTAGTTGATACTCCAAGGATCCTCCACTCTGCCACTGCCACTCACCCAAATGATCAGGGAATACTGGTGGTGAGTAGTTCTGTCCCAATTTTCCGGTTCCCTCCCTACTCTACGGTTGCCTGAGTCCCTGGGGCTCTCAACTGTCTTCTTGCACTTTCTCTTGATGTTCTGCTCACTTTGCTTCAGTCTTTGTTTACTCAGTGTCTCTGTCTCTTATTGGGGATTCTGTGCATTTGCCTTCCTGCGCTCCTCACCTGGGAACGCTGCTTGGTCTCAAGATGGCAATGCTGTGCCAGGTGTGCCAGCAGGGCTCCTATGGTTCATGTTTCCTCGTTTGCTATTTTCATTAAGTTTCTCCTTTCCTTCAGTGTTTGATGGGATTCTTTATCCCCCGATTGCTATCTGGGGTTCCCAGATTGTCATTTGCATCTCTTTCACTTGGTTTCTTGATTCTTTGCTATAGGAGGATGGCGTGGTATGTGGTGTGTGTGACTAAGCTGCTATCTTGGGCTGTCTCAAAACCTGGCATTTTTAATGAGGCACCCAGAACAGAAATTGAACTATTGTTATGTAAAATACCAGCTATACACCTGGACTTAATAAATGCTGTAACTTTAAAAATGGCTAGGAAAATGAAAAACACATTAAAAGAAAGCTTAGTAAGAGATTTTTATTTAGAGTTTTTAATTCTAAATTCTCTGTACTATAGTTTTTGGAAGTACATATTTTGGAAAAGATTTATATTTAAAAATAAAAATTAATATGAGGTATGAGAATAAAATTGCAAGTGAATGTAAGGGTCATACATGAAAGCAGCTACTAATTCTATGGTATCACAGAATCTCAAACAGATTAGTAGAAGTATAGAAAAAGTATGTATCTTTCTTACAATTAATGAGAACTTAATAGAATCCTTGAATTATGCTCATGAACATGAAAACAAAATATGTATTACCTTAATTCACTTCTAGATAATTTATGTGCCAACTGCAATAAAAACTGGATGAAGTTTGCTAGTTGGGGAATAGAAGTCCTCATGGCAGGATTTGCAAACCATCTCTCTGGGAGACATGCTGCTATCTGTTAAACAAAATACATGGTTAGTTTTCTTTTCTTTTGTTTTTTTAATTGTGATTTGGGTGAAGATTTACAGAGCAAATTCACTTTCTATACAGCAGTTCACATATACTTTGTCTCATGTCATTGACCACAGTTTACCACAATGCAACATCTCCCCTCCCTCTTCCTCCCCATAG